TTCTCCTAGAGAAGGGGCAAAGGGCTTTATCTTCTTTACACTTACCTATGCATAAAGACTACTCATAAAGGTTAAAAAAAAAGAGGAATGGCATAATCACTCTGCATCTCCTGTGCTCTGAGGACATAAACGCAACCTTGATCATGTCCTGGCTTTCTACACACAGCTAAATTTATCCAGGAAAAAATTCATCCTTCAGTAAAATGTGGGTTTATACTCATGGCCTGATCAATCAGCAGGGATGAAATCAGGCAATCTTGACTACTCCAGTTTTATCAGCTGCAGACAATAGCAAAATGTCAGTGGATTTCTCTGAATCACGCATTTCATGTTGCTGATGTTCCTTTTTTAAATTAAAGACAGCACATTGAGAACTTTCTGACAAATCTCACTGCTGTCCTGAGGTTACATGAGATCATTGGTTATTCATGTTAGCAGCTCCTCAGACAGGGTAAAGACTCGATATTCTATGCAGAACCAAGAAAATGGATTTGTCAACATCTCTCATCATGTTGAATAGAAAAAAAAAGGAAAAATGAAGATGCTTTTTCTTTCTCTGCCACATATTCTCTGTTGCAATCACGTTATTGCTCTTCCAAGATATGTTCCTTTGACTGAATTAGAGTTTTTAAAAAGTAACAACTGGTAAAATATGCATGTACTTACTCATCTTGAGCAGCTTGATTTGATTGGCCTTGATTTGAGCTACCAAGGAGAGGAGGCACGTTATGCAATTTCTGAAGCAACGTTTATTCTAATAAAAAGTTTGTATGTAATAAAATTCTTTTACCCTAACGCATTTGGAGCCCTGTCAGAAACTCGGTACCCAGAAGAGCTGCAATTTTTACCCACAGACACACTTCATCTTACAGCAGCTCTAAAGGCATGGATCAGGCACATTTCTTACTAATGTGAAAACTAAAATGCTTGATTAGCAATTACAAACACTTAGAAATTACCAATAATCTGCAGTCGTGGTGATTACACATAGAAGAAAGTAGAATTAAACAAAATATGAAGTCATAAAATGCCCATTGGTGACCAGTAAGCGTGCACTCCCCTCTTCTAACAGGTTGATACTGAGCTCTCAAAATTAAACCACAACTGCATAGAAGTGAATGTTTTTTTCAACCCATGATATTCTGACTAATATGCATTTTATCCTTATTTCCAGTGATTGAGGCCAAATTTTAATAATAAATTGTTATGAGAGAAACAATGAACTAAGTTGGAAGAAAGAGTCAGGTCTCAGCATGAGCAGACACTTATCCACCTCTGCCCCACACTTTGAAGAACTTGATTTGACCCATAGAGCACACTATTCCTAGGTGTCCTCTTACTGCAGGTATTTGCAGTTACGGGCTGAAGTTTCTGCCCTTAAGGGCACATTTGGTCACAACTGAAGGACGATACTTGCTTTCTGTTACTGCCCTCCACATCTCCAGCACACTCCTGCAGACGGGGGAAGCAGAGGCAGCATAACTTGGGCTCCTAAGGCAGCAGCTGGTGCTGCCTGCATGTTCTGGGCAGCAGGCAGGGGCAGCAGGTGGGGCAGCAGCCTCTCGTCCTGCTGCTCACTGGCTGGCAGCAATTCTGCGTTCTTCGCTGACCAATGACCCACAATTAGGTGAGCAGGCAGGAGTGTCTAGACTGTGCTTCACAGCCTCTCTTCTTACTTTGTCACTTTGATGGGCTTTGAAAAGGCTAAAAGTTCAGACCTGGGCTCCCCTCCCCAACACCCACCTCAAACAAACTGTGTACTCAACACTGATGCCTGGAGATTTAGATGGGAAAAAGTTGAGCCCAATGGTAGCACCATAGATTTTTACAGGAGCCTTATCGAGCACAATGTGTTTCAATCTTTCCAGGACTGAACTCTGATGTCAGAGGGCGAGTGGAAAGCATGGACAAACAGACTTTCCTTCTTTGTGTGCTGCTTTCGCAGTGCCCATTTTGCCAACCTAATCAGACGGAGATAAACACCTTGCAATATACTGCACAACTGACGTCAGCTTTTTGTGTGCTTGGAATGACGTCAGCACCAGCTTTGCAATGCTTTAATCTCTTGAGCAGAAATAAGCACAGCAGCAACTAACCTATTACTTTCCACAAGCTGCCACGCCAAGATTATTTCCTTTTTCCCCTGCTGGCTACAGATGACGGGTGAAGGAGGCAGGAGAGCCAGAACAAAGAAATCCACTCCTGTACTGAGCCAGTTTCTGTGAGGAGTCTAAATGAATTTAAATTGAGTAATAAAAAGAATAAATTACACCTCTCAGCAGAGAAGTCAAGCCTGTTTAGGCCCTTAAGAAATGGATTCTACTCATTTACATCAGAGCAAATAATATCAAATTCATTTCTCAGAATTTACACTACGATCACTGTAAATGTGTTTTCTCTCACATTTGTATATATTCACTGATACACTTAAAGCTTTCCAAGTCAAATACGGTCTAGAGTTTCACACTTTTACAGAGGCCTCTGGCGAGGCATCTCCAGAGAATCAAAATTTCAAGCTAATACTATAAATTTGCTTAGTTCAGAAATCAAAAAAAGCCAAAATGGAGGCACAGAAACTGGTACTGAGAATGTAACTATCAAGAACATTGGTAAAAGCAAATGTCAGTCTCAGAACTAGCCTGATTTAAGTTTGGTTTGGGGTTTTTGGTTCTTTTTAAGAAATTTTCCTCAGCTGTTTTTCCTGGTTCAGGGGAATTACACCACATTACAGGTCATTTATACTCTGTTTTACTTACACTTTGATTTCAATTTGTCTCATCATGTTACCAATTTTCAACATTTGCTTCTACTGAAAGAACAGGACAGTTACAAGCTAGTTAAGTTGCTAGCTAGACTGTCACTTATTAACTTATTAAGTTTTTCATAGAAACCTTAGCCAAAACTTTAAGAATAAAGAAGTGAACATTACTAATTCTTTTGGTATTCATTATGCTATTAGTCACAGAGCTCACTCATACATTTCCAAATTTCAACACAATCATTTCAGGATGAAGAGTATTATTTTTTTCCCCTTCTTAATAATTTTTCCTTGGCATCACTTCATATCCTTCCTCTCTGACTACCAGGAAGGTGCAGTTTGGGGGTTTTAGGGGCTTGAGTTGGGCTTTTGTCTTTTTCTTTTCAGAAACACAAGTTTACCAGGGTTATTTCATCTACAAGATAATGCATTTTTAACTGATTTGTTTACCTCCATAACACGTGCACACCTCAGTGAGGCTAAGGGATCAGGTTATATGACATCATGGTGCCAAAGGAATAATTGTCACTTGTTTGTGCAGTCCTGAAGAAAAGCCTGTAGCTTGAAATCACACACAATGCTGTAATGACAAAAATATATAGGAATAGAATATAGTTGTAGTTAAAAAAAAAACAAAATTTTTTTTTCTTTTCTTTTTTTTCATTTGGGAGGGGTACAGAGGGGGTAGAGGGCCTCTGCTCCCTAAGTCTGCCATTGGGTCATATTCTGTGAAATGGTTTTGTTTGTAGACATGACTTTTCACCCTGCATAGTTGTGAGATGACCATCCTTTTCCCCAGGTCCAAGAGGCAACTAAAAAAAAATCCTGCATCCCACTGCAACTGCTCCCCAAATCAAGGGTTGAGCAGCACTAAGAAAGCTGTCTTGAGGCACTTCTGCAGCAAGCAGTGCTATACCTGTACTAGACTAGCAGTGCCCGTAAAATAAAACGAAGAGCCAGAAATCAGCTGTTTGAATCACAAATCCCCCTCTTGGGTTTCACTTTAGGGACAAGGAAGCTCCAAAAACAAGACATCCCTTCAGCATTTTATAAAGCTGACTTCAGCTGCCAAAGGATTCCTCTGCAGCAACACTGAGAAAGCTTTAGCCTCAAGTAAAAAATTCACTGCAAACGAGCAATCATTAGTCAGCTGCATTTTTCATATAATTACTGGCAGTGAAAAATCAAGCATGCAGGTTGCTGGAAAATAAGGTCTAACTACTTCCACCCAAACAGAGCAGAAGCTGTTCACATAAGTTTTAGTGGGGGAGAGGGAAATCCTCAGCACTCCCCTTCTCTCTATGACTGATTACAATCTGCTTTTTTCTTTAAAGCACATTTATTGTGGGAGTTTGATTTGAAAGAATTTCAAGTAATTTAAACTTTGGCTGCAGGCATACAGATCATTTAAAAACTGATCTTCAAGTGTTTCTACATGTTAATAACATTTCTGTTGGTGGTATAATCAACCTACCAACTCAATTATCAATACATTGAATCACCTAGGATGAAATCACATAGCACAAAGTTAGCCAGACTGACAGTAAACGCTGTGTTAGCAGTTTTGGTGCAATACTCTTGCAGGGGGGACGTTCAGGGGTCTAGGGTTTCTTTAGGGGTAATTGTCAGCCACCCTTAGATTTTTCAAACTATAAAAGTGCTGAAAACAGCCTGCACAGTGGTTCAAATCAAAGCACAGTTCAAATTGTCTTTTCTTAATGGATCAGAATTCATCTGTCCTGCCTCATATTCACAAAGCACATTATTACCCCGCATGCACTTACAGGTGATGTCACTATCGGCATCTTTTAACTGTTATTGAAGATGAGTGACGGAAACACAATCTGACCTTAAATTAAAGACAGAAAATCAGGAGGTGCTAATTCAGATCCATCCTTTCTGGAATTGAGGTGCAAAAGCAAGATGTACATACCTCTGGGATTTTGAAAAGTGCAAGTGCCAGTTCGCTCCATTTTGGTATCTGTTCGCTGGCCAAAGAGCCTCCCACCGCCAAAGTTCTCATCGCATTTCAATACCCTTCTTGAAAAGGTAACTGGGCTTGGGACAAGCCAAAATAAAATAAAATAAAGGCCAGTTTTATTCATAGCAAATGGTAAAATTTTTGATGAAAAGGCTTACAGTGTTACCTTGTAAATCTAAGTGCTAAGCTTGCTCAGATCACGTGACTGGCAAGAACTTGTCAGCAACCATCTGAGTGTAAGAACATCGTTCACCGCTGATGTTTAGTTAAATATGCACAATTTTATTTATTGAAGAGATTAGGACAAAAACATTAAACCAAATACATGACAAAGCACCAGAGGCAGTAAAACCCCACCATGCACATCACCAATCTTTCCTCCTATAAGGTACTTACAAAGTAAAAAAAAGTCCTTCTTGACACAGCACCATCTTCAGAGTGTAAAAACATTACTCCTTTATATTCTTAGTTACCAAAATAGAACCAAGGCAGGTCAGCTGCAGCTAGCTTTGTCTCTTGATAAAGAACTGTGAAACATCCTCTTGAGAGTGGGACCATAACTTTCCTGCAAGGCAGGCAAATAGCATCCATACGTCAAATGCCAAGTAGCTGTACGCACATGCCACATACTATAATTAAGCACAAATTCAAGTAACATTTACATACTACAGAGTCCACATGTACCTACCCAAAAAACATGACCACTTCACAAAACGTATACAGGCAGTAATATCAGAACAACTGAGGTACTGGAAACACAAATATTTATGCCAAGAGATTTCAGTATCATACAGCAATATAAAAGCAGTAATAAAAACATTTGCCAGTCTAAATCAAATAAAGCTATCTAGAAAAAAAAAAAAAAAGAAGCTAAATAAAAAGTTATTTAGGGACAGAAATACCTGAACAGAAAAGAAGTGTGTTAACTACAGCATGTAACATGTCATCCCAAGTCAACCCGTAATTGAAGTACTGGCTTAATACATCACTACTGTGACATTTTCTTCAATAAATAGTATAAGTCTTGACAATACAAAAGGTGCATATTACTGTGTATGTTTCAAGAGGAATATCTGTAATATAAATGTTCAGCTTATTAATACCCTCTTATTTCTTAGTCTGGACATAAACAAAAATCAAAACCAAACAATTCTTTTCCAAAGTTGAAAGGAATTCAAAGAAAAAACCCACAATACTCTTCTTCAATAATAAAGAGCCCTCTATTTACATGTGGGCCAGTCAGGAAACAAGAGATTGGTTCTCAAAGACACGGTTAAGGGCTTTCTGCCCTCTCTAGTCATACACGTGCAGCATGGCAGATATGGAAGCCAGTATCTCATATCTTTAAAAAAAAAAAAATTATACAGTTTTCTTCTTCCCCCCCCCATTATAGCAGTAATGCATCTGGAAGTTCGAGTTATAATAGCTTCCTGCAACAAACCATTTGACACAAAACAGAACAGCCTGTTAAATGACAGTAACTTCCCCTTAAGGGAACAAAGCATTAAAATGTCATTTCCTGACAAGAATATTAAGTAGTTTATTTAGAAGAAATGAGTTGAAAATAGCTATCAAGAGACATGAACTGAAATTTTGTTTGTTTTTAGCACCCACTTTTCATGTCCGTCTTTGTGCACCTAATTTTTTTCTTATATTAATCCCATTAATTATTAGACATCTGATTAAAAAAAAATGTTAGCCAATTGTACTTTCCCTGAATAATGGCTGAAGTTAAATATCTAACAGTGCGATGCCAAGATGTGAGCTGAGGCAAAAAAGTTTCTATTTGTCGTGAGTTACCACTGTTTTTAATGGAACAGAAACAGGAGTGATACAGCTGCACCAAAATTGGCATGTGCAGTCTCCTTGGCTCCAAAAAGGTGAGAAGCTACAATTGCTCCATGCTGCCTTTTCTCCTCCAAATCAATCTAACCTGATAGCAAGCTCCCCCCGCCCCCCCAATCTGTCCCCATGCTACATTTGTTATATTAGCTCCTTGTGGAGGTTCCTTCTCAACCCAAGGACCTCTGAGTGTCTTTTGCTACCAAGCTAGGCTGATGCAGGATGTGATTTAATGCGGTCAGGAAGGGCTCCTTCATGTGTCCATCTCCAGGTTGTGTACCTTCTGAACACCAGTCTTTGTGCTCAGTTAAAGAATGGGTCCAAGTCTTCTTCCATGTTGACATCAGGCACCAGTTGATCTGATACTTCCTTAGCACCATATCCTGAATTTGATACATTAAAATCTGTAGAAAACCACGGATGGTCCAGAATTTCCTGTGAAGTCAGCCTTTCTGATGGCTCCCGACGCAGTATGCTACGTATGAGGCATTTTGCCTTGGGGGATAGAGTTTCTGGAATGTTAAACTGCCCACGACGGATCTTGCTGAAGAGGGAACTAGGCTCAATGTCATGGAAAGGATAGCGTCCAACTAGCATGGTATAAAGCATGACACCTAGACTCCATACGTCCGCTGCTTTGCCAGAGTAGCTGCCATTTGTGTTCAAGATCTCTGGACTCACATAGGCTGGGCATCCATGCTTATCAGAAAGAGAGTCATCATTTCCTCTTAAAATATAAGCATCTTCTAGGCTTTCCAATTTCACTCTAGTCCTGCGGGCAAAAAGAAAACCAAACCATCAAGGTAAGCAAACACCAAACACAAATTCCTGGCTGTTGCAATTACATGGTTACAATAGTCATATTCTACAAAATTCAACAACCACAGAAGTGAATCAGTTTAAAATCCCACTCGCAGCAGTTGTTACAAATAATTGATACCATCTCTTCCATACTGGTTAGAGATATTAGAGACATATAGGTAATACTGCCACACATACAGGTACAAGATTTCAAATACATTTATGTCCAGTAAACTCATTAACAACGTCTTAAGAAGATGAAAGGAACTGCCGTATTCATGCCTTTGGTTAATTTTAAATAGATGTGATTTCCAAAAGGAGATAGAAACCTTAAGACTTCTTCTGTGTTGGCTGCACTCTAATGCACCCATGCAGGAGTCATGCCCAAATACAAAACCAGCCCTAACTACACAGGATTATTTTGATACCTTCATGCTGGCAAACTGCTCCCTGCACCTGTAATTCCACAAGGTTTAACAGGAATAAAATGGTCACTCTGACCCTAAATGATACCTCTAACCAATCAACATTTTTCTTTATCTCAGCATTAAGGAACAGCAATTTTAACAGATTACAGTCTCCCCAAAGAGACCTCTGGGCAAAGGGAGATCAGGTGACCTGAACGCTGCCAAGACTAACAGCAACCTTATCTATCCAGCCAAATCAGAAGAGCTCCTCATGTTGGAATGAACAGAGAAGCTAGCAGAGGACTTGCAAGGAGATGACAGGCATGCCTTATCTAGATGTCAAACTGCTGCCTGCAAAGCACTGTGAACTCGTCATTGTGCTGCAGTAATTATCTCTGCAAGACAATTTTCTTCCCTTATGGATATCTCACAGCAGCAGAAAAAGTGATGCAGAGCTGCTTGTCATAGCACTAGATGAACATAACCTTTCTTTCCTTTCAATTCTCACTGCTGGGGTCTCCATCTATACTTAAAAATCTGTCCCCGTTGGAGGCATCCAAAGGATTACCAATTACCCTTTAGACTATTTGCTAGCAGTGGATGGTTTTGAGAACAGAATCACTACAATGCAACAGGGCTTGTCCAGTGCCTCTGGATGGCAGAGTGACCTAAGAGCAGTGCAGGCTTTCTTTTCAATAACTTGGAATTGCAACTCAACTTTGGGTATTACTGTCCTCATCCCTCAACCCCACTGGTCTGTTACAATCAGCCTTAGCCCTGTGTCATGGCCATGTTTCCATACCACAGACATTCACAGGCAAGGACTGAACTTCATTCCAGAAAGCACAACTCGTGTCTCTTGACTAAAGCACATCATTTAACTGGCACTAAAACAAACAAGGAGAGCCCTGTTTCTTAAATGTTCACTGAAGACAAGATTGCTTAGACTTGAGCTCCAAAAGACATCTCAGCCAGCTTTGCCTTAGAGCTTTGCCCTGTTCCAGGGCAGCTCAGCCCTATCTTCTTTGAACCAACAGAAAAGCATTTTACTTCATGGAGTACTCCAGAGGCAACTGTGCCATAAACTCTCATAATGACACTTGGACCTTTTCAACAGCTAGAGACGTTTACTAGCAGAGGTGAAAGCCCCTCTGGCAACATGCCCCAAATGAGGAGTCATTAATACAAAATTCAGAATACCTGGCTCCCAAGCACAGTGTGTCAGGGCAGTGTTTGCTCCTCCAGTTCGATGCTGATGGGCTTTGCTCAACACACCTGCTTCCTCATTAATTACCTACTGCCAGTCTAACAGCACTTCTGGCCGTGGACAATCCCCTCATTAGCACTCAAACAATACTTTACAGGAGCAATGCCTCACACAGGAAGCTGGCTGCAAGGAGAATCTTAACTACAATTACCAAGACCACAGCAATTTCCCTCTGTACAGAGCTCAGAGGGTCCACAACAGGAGACTGACTAGAGAAGAGTCCTTTCAGGATGCTCAGCTTCGACATGTTCCTGCACCTGCACAGCATAGGGAGAGCAGCAAGGAGAAACGCCCAAAGGAAAAAAACATGCCAAGGAGGGCAGAGAACAGAGAGGAGGAAATGAAAGGGAAGACAGGGACATGAGCTGTGGTTCCACTTGCATTGCCCACCTCAGTTTTTCCATAGAAAAGCATGTGTAGCAATAAAACAGTGAGGCCAGCTACTCAAACATGCATTAAGTCACTGAACTGCCAGACAGGAAAGCATCAACTCACTCCTGCTAACTAACAGAAGCAGAACACACACAGGGAGCAGGGCAGAGCACGCTATTTATAAACAACTTCCAAGAGGGAGTTCACCCCCACACACACTTGCTCCTCTGCCATTCCCATGTCAACAGCGCAGGGAAATGCTGTTTACTTTCCTATCCTGTTTTACATTTCTGGGAGTTGCCAAAGAATTTAGAAAAACAGTTCAATGAGAAGCTTTTATATTATATAAAATTATAGGAATTCCCTAATCTCTCATTTTTTACAATGGACATGGTACAGAACCACAGAGAGCAGATTGTAAGGTGTGTCAAAAAATTCATCTTTTCTCCGAGAGGAGAAATAATTTGTTGATAATAAAAAAGAAGCAGCACACAAAAGCCATAGCCTCATCTTGCTTTCCTTGCAAGGTGCTGCAGCCTCCACGCATGCTACAGCAGGTTTTGTTTAAGCAAGCAAATGGAACAACAGCTGGCCGTTATCTGCCTGCTCCTCAGTAAGCTGTAGCCAAATGAAGAAAATACTCAAACCAGGTTTTTCATCCTGCCAAGCTGACAGGCTTTGAGGAAACAAAAGGTCTCAAATTAAACAAAAACAAAACCTTCACTCCTCATCCTCAGACCCCAAACCCTCACCCAGAAACACCCTTGTGCGTAAGGTGAAAGTGGTGAAATGGCTCCTCTGCAACCAGCACAAGTACGGCACTGAGCACGCATCTCCCTCACAAACTGCAGGGCCTGCATCTCCTGAGCACATAATGCCAAGTGCACGGCATCAGTGTGACTTTCTCCCTTCCCAATTACACCCAGAAGCAACTCGGGTATCCAGAGTTTCATTTGTAAGGTCCAGTGTCTTTGCATTAGGTTTGCCATCCTTACAGCAAGGAGAGCACAGGAGTACGGGAAGTGCCGGCCGGCACCGTGGCTCGCCAGCTTGGCACAGCTGGTAACTGAAAGCACTCCCAAGATGGTTCTGACAAGGGCCGTGGCTCATCTCTGCCAGCACCCCTCACCACCAGCCAGCACTGCAACTCCAGCCCATTTTCCCCTTTTTCACCAGCGACAGACAACTTCACCCACTTCAGCCTCGCATGAGGAACACTCTGTACGGTACTACAACTGGGCATCGTGCAGGTGTAAATGGCAAGGCTCACCACCCTCTTAACACTCATTTCACATTTTTTCAGGCAATCAAAAAGGAGCAGCCTGGTTCAGGAGCTGCTACTTCCCACTGTGCAGCACCCATCTCTGTGAGAAACAGCTTCCAGCTCTGGCTGGCCTTCCCTTCCTCCACACTTCAAGTATTACCTAAAAGAGCTGTTTTCTACAAGCCAGAGAGCTTTTTTTTTTTTTTCTTTTTAAGAACAGAGGGGGGAGCAGGGGGAGTGTGGAAGGGAATGGGAAAGAGGAGATTCTGAAGTCTAAATACACAGAAATGTAGAGACATGCTGAATGAGATGCAATCTCTCTCTCCCCCACATGCTCTCCCTCAGAGGAAGCACTGAAATCAAATACCCAGGGAAAAGAATAAAAGCCAACAACAACAAACAGACCCTGAAAACTGCAAGTAGATTCTGAGAATAAGAACCTCCACAGCAAAGGGTGCAGAGTGCATCCAATTGTAGATTAACCAGACAATGCTAAATTTGACATTTGCTAGGCAAGGGACAGACAAAACCAAACATGAAGATGTGAAATCACAATCACCTTTGAAGTGCCTCCCATCACAGCACAGAAAAAGGGCAAACAAAAATAATTCTTTTTTAAAGTGACTTCTCTAAAAAACCCTAATTCTCTAAATAATTAACTCGTATTAGTCAACTGAATGACCCCTACAAGAAAAAAGGTTTTCCAAAAGCACCAGCATTTGAGTCCGACAAACAGTTGCAACAAAATTAATCCCTTAAATTCAAATGTAAGCTACTGCTACAGCCGGATGAGAATCACTTTGTACACATACTGTAGGGCAACAAAGACTTCTGTCAAGGCTTACGTAATTATAGTACATAATTTCAAGTTTTAATGCAGACCCTGAATAAGCACTTGGAAAAAGAGCATTATGCATCTATCAGATCATTGATAAAACACTGCATTAGTCTAATGCATTAAAAAAAAATACAACCCTGAATCATGGCTATTTAAAAAGGGGAAGCTATTCTGCCTATGAATGCTTTCCCATTACTGGTGAATGAAACCACAGAAGTGCAATCAGAGGGCAGCAGCAGCACTCGGACGGGAAATGCGTCTTTGTCCCCATAGAAACCGTCAGGGAAACCCATGAAAAACAATACCACTCTGAGTTTCTTATCAATATGCCATTCATTACTTGACTGCATTCAGACTTTGCTCTTCAGTAATGTAACAAAACCTAATCAATTAAACATCTTCCAGAAGATTCTTCAATGTAATCTCCTGAGTTAGCACCATCTCTGGCTTTGTTGCGTGTCCTACACTTTTTTCCAACTGATTCACATTATTCCTCCCTGTAGAGCTTAGGGACTACTGGCAAACTGCTATCCTGCCTTTTGACACTGAAGCCAGGGCTGTAAGAACCCAGCATTCACACCTGGTCTCCAAAAGAAAACACAATTTCCATACCAAAATCAATGGAATTATTCAGAGGGCTCTAAGCTCATAAGACAAGAGAAAAAAAAATAAATCAGAAACATTAAAAGCAGAGATATCAACTGATAGTCTGAGTTTTTCAAAGGAAAATATCTCCACTGTACTGAATAGGCCATCAGTAGTAAAGGAGTCTGTGCCTGAATCAATGAAAGCAGTTGCTTCTAGTCTGTTCCCAAAGCCATCT